TAATTTTGTTTATTAAACAATAAAATGAATGTATTATTTAAGGAAAAGAACAGAATAACAGTAGATAAATACATTTTTGTGGACCCCTCCCGCTTGAATAAATTCTGGTTGCGCCACTGCCGTCTGTAATCATGTTCTGAAATTAAGTCTAATAAAGCGCTTAATATATTCATGGCTATTTGCAGGATAACAATGGCACGATTGAAAACGAAGAACTTCGCGGCTTTCTAAAGGATTTGCTCGAGCTAGTTAAAAAGGTCTGTTATTTTATGAAATTATACATTATTATTATGTATGCCAACAGGCTATACAACATGCGCTATGTATACATATACATAATACACCTAGCACGGCATATCGCAAGTTCCTTAGAACAATAATATTAAATTAACTCTCCAGTTCTATACACTTATGTGTAGATATCAAGTATACATATCTCTTATACCTATATAGTGCTTTAATCCCTATACAGACTTAATAAAATTGTCATCACCGGTGTATAGTGTTATGACGCGTGTTGTTATAATATTACGTACTTACCAGAAAGTTATTGTGCAGAATGTTATAATTACTCACTGTTGGTTCTGTAGGATTATGATGCCGACGACTTGCAAGATTTTGAGGAAACTATACTGCGCGGTGTGGATTACAACGAAGACGGAAAAATCAACAGAAAAGAGTTGACAATGATACTCCTTGCACTGGCGAAGCACAACCAGGAAGACGACTCTGCCGCTAAAAAAGAATAATTGTTTTTCAATTCAAACAAATCGTCGTATGCAGAAAATAATAATAATAATAATAATAATAATAAGTAATCGTGCACAATATTGCGTATTTCCGTGACGAAATTCGTATGCATTTGTTGTTATTTTGATATTATTATAAACTAAACTTAAGTACGTTTGTTGTTTTAAATTTTAATTGTAGGAATATTATACTTTTTTTGTTTTGTTATCATCATTGTAACTCGGAAGCAATAATTTCCATTCCATAATAATATTATATAATACTAGGTTAATGCCTAAGAATTTCATTCTTGATGCACTATACTTGCACTTTTGTCTTTCAATTCTTGTTTAAATTAATAACTAAAAAAAAAAATCATCTCTTCCAGAGGTAAATGTAAAACAATAATCATACCTAACGATTATTTTTGTAGCATGCATAGATTCTATAATATTATAAAAGATCTATACTAAAATAATTAATACGCTACTTTTTGCCAGTTATCATAGCCTATTAATAAGATGATTTTAAGTGTATACATTTTTAATTCATTAACATTATACAGTAGTCATGAATTTAATCAATATAGTATTAAATGTTTAAAACAACTGTTACTCGTTAGTGTTATCTTAATTAAATGTTTCCGATATTATTATATTTGTGCAGTAGGTATACATAGTTACATTATGTTTAAACGTAGGTACATACATTTTAAAATTTAAAATTTTAAGTGTTCTTTTATTATTATAACTCGTTTCCATATATACAAATAATATAACAACTACAAATGAATACACACATAGTTTTTAATTATTTTTTTAACTCTAAAATATACTATTATTATTTATTATTATAATGGGGAAGCTGCACCTTTAATAAAATTAATAAGAACCCCATTTTTCATTGAAATTATTTAATTATTTATTGATTGAATACTTTTTTTTGAAAATTTTAATTTATTTAATCGAAATTTTGATCGAGTATCTAGTTTCTTAGTTAATAAAATGTTTATATAATATTTCTTAAAAATGGTTGGATCTAGCACTTGTTTTAATTGGACCATTTTTACAAATTATTAATATTGATAGTTTTATATAGATCACAAATATGTTCAAATTCAATCATATTCATATCTTTCAAACCCATTACCATAGACCTATTACCTTTAGCTTAAGTTAGATAACAGGTAACTAAGTTAAATAATTTAAAAACTACTCGTTCGAATTTTATTTCAAATGCCTCAAATCATCCACTAAATAATTTAGAGCAGAAAGAGAAGGTTCTCATTAAAAAAAAAAAAAAAAAAAAAAAAAAAAAAAAAAAAAAAAAAAAAAACAGAAGTTTTATCACCACAAAATACTCTTTAATAGTATACATACTAATTCAATAATTTAAAAATTAAGTTTTAAGTAAAAATTCATTATTAAAGGATAACATGGGGAGGAGTAAGAATGCTGGGTGAAACATTTTATTTATACCTGTTTAAAAAATTCCTTGAACATATTTTCTGCAACATGATGTAGACCACCAGACAAATATCCAGAAGAGATCTAGAGTCTGGACTCCCCCCCCCCCCCCCCCCCAAAAAAAAAAAATCTTAGCTACATGCCTGTAAACTACACCACACTATACTATACTGTAAGCTGTTCCAACCAATTTGTATCACTTTTGACTCTATGTAGTATTACAGCGTGCACAATCTACACTAATCTCTCAAGCATCATGGCATCATGCTTGTACATAAACATTGTCTGATAAATTTCTATCTCAAACAACTCAAAATTCAAACATCTTTACAGGTTTTATTTTTTTTAACAGTAATATTCTTTCTCTAATGGCACTGCATAAAAACATTCTTATTACTTTTATAATAGACAATTGTTTAAAGAAAAAGGAAATTGAATTTAATAATTTAACTATACATATAGTTTATACATTTTGAAACAAAGCGGACCTATTATAAATATATATTAATAGGTAATATAATAAATATTACCTACATACATACTTCTTATTATTAATCATAACAATTCAATGTAGGTAGTAGGTACCTATATATAGTTGATAATAATTATTATAATTGTTACATTTAAACGTAACACTCTATAATAGATAATTTTTAAATACTTTTAATAAGTAATTTTTTTAACTGCAAGGCATATGTATATCTAGCCACTAATTTGAATTTAGGGGAGAGGGGTATTATGGCCATTTAGAGAGAATAAATGGGATAATTTTGCCCCAGGCTCCGATTTTGGAATATTTTTTGGGATCCCCTTAAAGCATTGATAAGCATTGATGTAAAAATACATGTCAGAATTTATAATTACTCGATGCTACCCATATACCTAATTCCTTCGAATCAATTTTTTCAAAATCTTATTCCTTTTATAAAATATCAATAATAACATTTTACTCCGTCTCTATAGACTAGTCTGTTGTAATTATATACAGGTAAACAAGAAAAATTTTCAGTTATTCTAATTATATAATTATAAATATTATAAATTATTGTAGTCGTAGTGTCGGAGTGGCGAGTACGAAGAAAATTAATAATATAAAAATCAAAATATCAATATTTCTTCGTAGGTAATCAATATTGCCGAGAACACCAAACGGACGGTGACTACAAACTATTTACATAGTAAATTAATTAATTCATAATATGATATCAACTCGTGGGGCATTCCGGCGTAGACTGTTGTCTATCACTGACTACCGAAGTCGCTACTCACTAATAAATTCGACAGCTTTGCTGAAAAAAAAGCTAGGAAATAAATTTTCTAAAATAAATATTAATATTTTATTTAAAATAGGTAATAAAATAATACAATTTCCTTTTTTTAAATTTTCTAAGCAATTTACCTATTCTCTTTATTGAATCCTATAAACATCCAATTTCTTATTTACCATGAACACCTATTTGTAATTTTCTAGGGACAAATTGTTTTTTCCTTTAGTTCATTTGATAATACATAGATTTTAATGAGATTGGTTGCAATTAAGGTTTGAAAAATACATTTGCAAGAATTTTGTTGATATCAATGAGTATTTATTTTTAGTATATCGTATTATAATGATCAAAGGAGCTCCCACATTAATTTGCCCTTGACTCCGAAAAACATTGAAACGGTCCTGGATAGTGGGTTTCCAAGTATACTAGTATTCAACATATGCCAATTTAATAATATAGTACGTTTTTGTGTCCCGTGTAGGTATATGTAACAGCCATAACTGAAATGTATTTTAAAACAGAACAAATAGCATTTTATATGAATGTTCTCATAATATATTAAATTCATTTAAACAGATCATCTATATAACTTTAACGATGAGTGCATACAATACCTTTTGTGTACTTTGTATTATTCTTTATAATTTATTTTTAACTTAGATTATTCCGTGTAACGAAAGTAATCCCTTCAAATATACTTATGTCGTCTCTGTGCAATAAGAAGCATAAATACCATTTTGTAAGGTGTACGTTAAAATAATTCTTCTTTAGTTAAAAAAAATGTATATCAAAATTACAACCTATACATTTAATATTAAAAAATACAACAGTAAATAATTTAATAGTTAATAGTTAGTTATGCTTTATTAAATAAACAACAATAATAATAATAATTGTTAATTATGTAATCTAACTAGATACCTAACCATCAGCAAGTGTCAAATGTACCTCATTATTGTTTACAGATATAGATCACTGTAATAGATGTTTTAAATTTGAATTCAAGGATAAATCATTAGATATAGATTGCGATGAAAAATAATTATAAATGAAGACAGTCTTTATAACTTGTTGGCAACCAAGGCTAGGTTTAGAAAAATGTATATGAATGATGTACCTAATTTAGTTAAGCTTCACATAATTTTCCGCTCTTTAAATTTTGCCGCCCTAAGCAGTTGCTTACTCTGCCTATTGGGAAATCCTCCTCGTCAATAACAATATACGAGTAACATTACGTGTTTTTAGACTAGCACATTAATACCTTTAATAACAATAATAAATTAATACATTTGTGGTCGCTGATTATACCTATGTGGCTTTAAACAGGATCTATACACATGACTCCCCGATTCCGCAGTACCACCCACTGAAAGCAGCAAGTTCCGGGTATGGTTTTCCCGGGCCGAAACGTATAATACGATATTTTGATCCCGTTACCTACTATATAGACTCCGGATTCCAATAATCTCCACTACCCATCCCAGCTGGCGCTGCTATCAAGTCCTGGGCACAGTCGGCATGGCAACGGGGCCACCGATGTAAACAACACCCAACACCGCGCGGTCTGCTCGGGCTCACCACATCGTACCTTCACAACGAGCAACTCATGGAGAAAACAAACCGCGGGACAGAAAAAGGTAATCAAATTACGACGAGCGATATAGTTAGATAGCTACCGTCAAGTGCTGGACCGCTGCGGTTGCAGAGCGTAGACCGCCTTTTCTCTAATCATTTTTCTCATCGAGTGAAAATAAAATAACACGTCAAACGGCGTTTTAGTGCTTACTGCTTTGGTGCACACCCCGCGATCGCGGTACAGTGGAGGTACCCCCCGAGCGCCCGACCAGCATCACCCTAACGTCCCCGTCCCGACACTAATGGGTTCATCTGCCGATTTTAAGAGTCTCGAAGATGAACTGATCGACAATGTGGAAAAAGACGTGCGTTACTGGCAACAGAACGACGCCAAGTTGAGAGCTGTGAAGAGCGTGTCTACTTACCAAGAGTTCAGGTAAATTTCAGTCTTCTCGTCCGCGGCGACGGCGACAATCTTACACTAGACGTAGATTTTTAACGCACCCTACCGTTTGCAGCGATATTGTCAAAGCTGCTCATTTGCGTCCATTGTCCAAGAAAGAAATCGAGTGCAAGAGCAACCCCCCTGCAGTGTGGAATAACGTAGTGGCAACTCACAACATGCAAGACAGCAAACAGCTGAGTTCTGAGTTTGTGGTGAGCACCCCACAACAATTTCATTTCACATCTATGTACATTATTTCATGCAAACTGTTTTTTTCCTTCTGTTAGGTCCCTGACGTTGACATAAAAGATAACATACCAAGTGCTTGTTCTCCAATAGTCCAAGAGTTTATTTTGAGTTTCCACCGTCTTAGCTCAGCCAAACACAGGTACAAGTATTTGAGTCTACACGGTGCCGAAAATGTAGCCGCCACGTTTCATACCGAAGAGATACCTCCATCTGTGCTTGTAGAACTGCTCGAAACACTACTCATATTCCCGTCAAATAGTGTTCCCGACATAGTAGCAGTCACCAGACTTCTAGATGTGATCACTGGGACAAAAAGGTATGCCCACCTCACTTTAAGTAGACTAATACTACAGACTAGAGCAGTGTCTCTCACCAATGTGTTGCACCGAACAAGTCCACATGTGTCATGAAGTATATTAAATGACAAAATATTCAAATATTTTTAATACAATTTACAAAAACTAGTAGGTAATTTCTGATTCTATGATAATTAAAAATTAGTTTTCTTTTATCGAAATATTCTATATCAACAAATTAAAATTAAATATTACCCATTATTCTTGTTTTGTTGAATGTGTTACAAATATATGAAATATTTTAATAGTGTGTCGCCAAAACACATAGGTTGAGAAACACTGAACTAGATTACTTTATTCATTCCTTCTTTTTCATTTAGATTTGAATTAGCCATTGAGTTTTTGAGTTCAACTGAATTGGACACGTTGTGTAATCTGTTCAATAAACTAGAGGAGAGTCTCAAGTCTGGTCAACAAGATTTGGCTGAACAAGGAGTGACTGAATGGAGTTTGAGTACACTAAGGAGAAAATATAAAGTCTAAGCTAATATAATTAGTTCAGTATTAATAGTGAAAATATTCCCAATTCTCCATACCTTATACTTACCTGCATATCACAAATCCTTTTACTATTTTAAGTGTTTTTAGTGGGAGAATAAAATAACAACTGTTATAGCCACATCATAGATGCAACAATTTCATTAAAAAATCCTATTTCAAATATCCCAACACACAATGTTTGAACATATGTATTATTTATTTTATTTTTATTATGAAAGACTGATTTTACTCCCAATATAATATTATAATTATACTGGTTATCATTTTATTTTGCTTTATAATATGTTGACAAAAATTTGTATTTGTTTTTTTATGTATTCATTATTACAAAAATATAATATTGAAGACCAAATATAATGTTCTGGTTAATAGTTAAATCAGTAAGACCTCTATCAATTCCTTTAGTCCTAAAATTCTGGTACTACTTTGTGATTTGAAACATGAAAAGATCTATTTTATGGAGTATTACTTCATAGCACATAATTATTATTTATTAAACAAAAAATAATTATCTTAATTATTAATTCAGTATTGTAAAAAAATGTTTTTGATGATATTAAAATTTATGCCATAGGAACAAAATGAAGAGCATCAATTTATTATTATTATTTTTTAAATTTATAATCATGTATCACAATAATATTTTTTTAAATTTAAAAATTTAACAATTACCATAAATTGCTTATACTTTTTACTTTTGTATTCCCATCACTTCTCTAGGTCATAATATTATAATATTATTAAGATTGAAAACCAATAATAGTACAATAGTATTTAGATATAAAAGTATTTTAATAGCGGCTATATAGTTGTTAATAATTATACATATTATTACATTACACGTTATTTGACTTTGTTATGTACCTACTTAGATAATTTTATATTTACTTATATTATTATAGATTCATTGATGGATTTTAATTGATTAGCTTAGCTTTAAATATTTCTTATACCAATATACCTAAAAAAAACGTAAAGAAAATATAATTTTAAGCTAAGGCATTTGACAAAATTCTTTTTTATATTTGAAATAAATAATGAACATAATATATTATATACAATCAAACTGTACAGCATACATTAAAATTGTTATGGTAAATTTACTGAGATCATAATTAAAAATTTTGATTCAATAAAAATATATTTTAATTTGTATCAGAGTTATATGGTGAAGCAGTACTTGCGCTACCACTAGATGAACTATCAACAGGCTTTTGTTCTAGCTCTTTTGGTTTTTCTTCTAAAATACCTGTAATCCATTGACAACAATAATATTAGTAACACACACTCTAAGTATACGATGTACCATTAAAATAATTTTTTTTACTTTTCTGGAAGTCTGAATATTGGACTTTAATCTTGGATCTGATCGCAGTTATCCTCTTAAATGTACTATCCAAGTCTTTGCGTAACTCTGTCAACATTTGAGTGTGCTTTTTCAGTTCCTGGGTTGTGGTTTTTAGATGACTCGTGGACAAAGCATTGCAGTTGGTGAGCATTTCGTTAGTCTTTTCGAAACGCTGTAACCTTAAATTAAAGACAAACACATATCAACGTATACCACCAGAAGAATTAATGAACTAGAGATTTAGAAACTGTGTTAATGGCTTACATTTCTTTTTGGGCAATGATCATGGACTCGACGTCTTCTTGATTTACGATGCCAGCTAAGCCTTGTATGAACACCTCGGGCGCGGTATAGTTCTGAAAGCACTCAATGCTCGGCGTTTCGTCCAATTCGCTAGTAGTGTCTGCCATCACACGTTCTGTAGTCAGATGCCCGTATCAGACGAAAAATAATTATAAAAAACAATTACTCGAGACGAAGAATCGAAACGAACCTATAAAATAAATAAGTAAGCCGTAAAATCGAAATCCGAAAACCAAAATATCAGGATATACTGGATATAGTGGATATACTGTATCGTATAGTATCTAGTACTATAGTGTATACTGAACTAACACCATGGCTATTCTAAATAAACAGGCATGTCAGTAAAATTACGTATTTTCCCTATCACTGCGCATGTGCCCCAGATTTGGAAAATAGTATAATAATTATACAATATGGTGTTGATAAAGAGTTCATGATAATAAATAATGAATAATAATATTTGTTTTATTATACAACAACAATAAATTTATTCAACTTATTTTGGTAAGAGTATTTAAAAAAAAGAAGACCATTTAGAGCATGAAAATAAACAAACAATTATTTAGCCATGACTAACACATTTTAATACAACTCACAAGTAGACAGATAATTTTTATTTTTTTAAATAGTAATAATAAAAAAATAAATTATTATATTGTAGTAATACGCTGGAGCGCAGGACAGTAGTATTTGATAATAGATAATACATTTTAATGATAATATTTACATCTATAACCACGGTTAAAGATATATCTTTAATCGTGTCTATAACATCTGTGGTGAAAATCCAAAAAGTAACATCTTTGATTTCTTATCAACTTTGAGGTTCCGACTTCTGGAAAGGTTTCGTCTTTTATTTGTACTTTGGTAGTTTTGTGTACTGTGTACATCAAACTACGAATCAGAGATTACTCTTTTTTTAGTTAATTAATGTTTGTTAATAAACATTAAAGATAAATTACAGCAGGCCGTAATCGATCGAGTAAGTCAACATAATTCTATTTAATAATAATAATAATGTTTTAATGTATTGTTTCGTTTTGTTTCATCATCAGCATATCCAAATATGTCGCTGTCGAAAACGACTAACACGTATAACCGACAGAATTGGGAAGACTCCGTAAGTTTTTCATTCACAATCTATTTTACAGGGCAGTTTTAGCGTAGTCGAATAATGGTTTAATATGTGTAACCATTACTTAGTAATTGTTCGAATCCAAACAGTTTAAACGTTCATACGAATGGGTTTAATTTTTAAGAAATTAACTTGGAACATTTACTGAGTTCTTATCATTACAAACTTAAGATATTTAGAATTTGTTTATTGATAATTAAATTTTAAAATTTTTAGTATATAACTTATGTTTGGTATTTTATATCATGAATTTAGGTAAATTGAAGTGAAAAAATGTGTGCGACAAGTACACCATATTTTTATTAATTTATAGTTTTAGTACAAAACAAAATATATTATCTTATAATAATATATATGACATGACATCTACATAACCAAATATTATTCCAAAGTAATTTTCATAATTACTTATTGGGAAAATAGGTAGGGTCAAATAAAGGTTTTGCTGTCCATAGGTTATAATTGTTATAAATTATAATATATTTGTCACTTAATTTTACATTTTGATATTTTACTACAAAAAAGTATTAATGTATTTATTAATATGTTGTGCTTAAAATAAATTAAAATCAGATATTAATTCTAATAACAAAAAAATTATCATTTTATTAACACATTAGCTAATAATATTTACCCGTTGTCACTTATTGCTTATATTTCTATACATCATGTATAAATAATACTTGTTATGAAGTTAAATTAAAAAACAAATTTGTAGGATGCAACTAACTATGAATAAATATGTATCATACACATAAAGACTGCTATTTATTTTAAACACTTATTATTAATATTGAATACATGGATATCGATTAAAATGCATTCAAATTATTTGTACTTATATTTTTTAAATAATGTTTCAATGTCAAACACTATTTCGTGTTATATCAAAGAAATATGTTATTTTGTTGCTGCCATAGGTTATAGCCATAGGTTATATTCTAATATTTTAAATTTGGTTTAGGACTTTCCAATTGTTTGCGAAACATGTTTAGGAGATAGCCCTTATTTGCGAATGGTAAGTATATTTACCTAAAATAATTTTTAAATTGTATAATTGTTATAACTACGATTTATTTTAGGCAAAAGAAAAATACGGTAAAGAATGTGAAGTTTGTGCAAGACCATTTACAGTATTTCGTTGGTGCCCAGGCGCTAGAATGCGTTTCAAGAAAACTGAAATATGTCAAACATGTGCACGTCTAAGAAATGCTTGCCAAACATGTTTATTGGATCTCGAATATGGACTTCCTTTACAGGTGAAATATTATTTAATTAATGTCAATTGATTCTCTATGTTGATAGCTTAAAATTTGTATTAATTACAGGTCCGTGATGCTGCATTAAAAATTAAAGAACAAATTCCCAAGTCTGATGTTAATAAGGAATATTTTGTTCAAAACATGGATTCTGAAGTAAGATAATTTTAATTTATGTTTACTAAGTGTATATAAATTAATTTGTTTATTATTATATTTAGTTAGCTAAGATGGATGAAGCTGGTGGAAAATGTCAAAATGCTAGTGATGTATTGGCTAAAATGGCTCGTAAAGCTCCTTATTATGAACGTAACAGGCCACACATTTGTTCATTTTGGGTGAAAGGTGAATGTCGACGAGGAGAAGAATGTCCATACCGTCATGAAAGACCTACAGATCCAGAGGATCCACTGTCAAATCAGAATTTCAAAGACAGGTAATGATTTATAAATAATCTCACCGTATTGTATAATTATTCAAACTTTAGAATCAAATGCTTTTAAAATGTGCATAACTACAGTATTGCACATTTTTATTACTGGATTTTCAAGTTTATACATTGAAAATGTTATAAATTTGTAAAATGTATTGTAATTGTAAGTTATCCTCTGAAACTTGTATTTTTTAAGTATTAGTAATCTAGTTACCTTAATATAAATATCAACATAATTACTTATTATTGTATTATTTTAGATATTATGGTGTAAATGATCCTGTTGCCGAGAAAATGATGAACAGAGCCAGTGAAATGCCAAAACTGGAAAAACCAGAGGATCAAACAATCACAACACTTTACGTGGGTAACCTGAATGACATAACTACAGAAAAAGATTTGAGGTAAATACTGTTATTAAATGTACAACTATAGTTGCTAAAGTTTTTATTTTTCTAACTTTTAGAGATGTATTTTATCAATACGGAGAAATCCGAAACATAACTCATGTAGCTCATCAGAATTGCGCATTTATTCAATATACTACACGAGCTGCAGCTGAAATGGCAGCTGAGAGCACTTATGGCCGTTTAACATTAGGTGGACATAAATTGAATGTACGCTGGGGCCACGCTCAAGCACGCAAAGATAAAGAAACCACTAGTATAGCAGTTATGAAAGAAACCAAAATGAAACCAACACCTGGATTACCTGCCCCATTACCGCCATTGCCTACAGAGTTACAAAACAATTTCTTCAATATTACTCCACAAGCTGTGCCTGTTGTTGCTACTCCTTTCATACCTGTCATGCCTACATTACCTCATCCGAGTATGCAATACATGTCCACACCTCTTTATCCACCTAGTACAAGCAAATGAAACTTTTTTAATTTTATATAACTCATTTTTTACACATTTGCGCTATGATTTAAGTATAACAGACAGCTCCAATAACTAATTCCCCAATTATTTTACAAATATTATATTAAGATTTTATTTCAATTTATCCATATGTTTGCTGAAACAATAAAATACTTTAAAGACATCAAATCTATAGTTTTTATTATTTATTTTAATATTGTATGTTCTGAGTGGAGGAACATCAAACTCAAATATGACCTGATAAAGCTATCCTCTAATCCTAATATTTATATCAAAATAGTTATTAAAATATGTAACTTTATATCTTACTAAGACTGTCATAAAATGCTATTTATTGGTTTAACTCAGTGAAGTTGTCACATAATTATAATAAATAATGTATCTTATAATTTTCTTTTAATTTAGTGTAGCTGGTAATTCATTGCATAATTTTTTTTTTGATAACATAATTGAACCACAATCTAAAACAAATAATATTTAATTAACAGATTTTTACTGTATAAAAGTTATTATAATAAGTAGTTAACATTTCAATCAAGTACTACACTAAGATTTTGTTTTTTCCGATGAACTATAGAGTACAATAATATTAGTAATATTGAAATAATAAAAATATGAATTTAATTTTTGATAACATGATCAATAAAATTAATAATTTAATTAAAATACTCTGGGAGTAAATTGATTAAAAAAATTAAATTTAATATCATAAAATATTGTTTAAAAAAATAAGATAAATATAACAAATCAATAATAAAAAAAAAAAACCTAAATAAAAACAATCAAAAAATATATATTAATATAATATTGAAAACAAAAAATGTTTATTTTAATAACAATAAAATTAGTTAAAAATTGTAATTCAAAATGAACACATATAATGGCGTGGTGAACTTGAAATATAGTCAAATATTCCAACAACCAACTCGCCTAAAATTTAAAGGCACTTTTTTTAACTACACATTGTGGTAAATGCTAGTTTGGTATTAAATCATTATTGATTGGCCATTACCCACCCATCATCCCAATAAAAAAAAAACTCGAAGATTAGGTCGATTATTCCTTCACCACGCCACTGCACATACAGATAAAATATAGTACTGCAGTCTTTACCCATACATGAATATACAGATTTTGTTATTGAAAAAAAATACAAAACACCAATATAATTGTCATAACATTTTATTAATAACTAAATACCTATTTCACTCTTTTGAAGTGCTTGATATTTAAAGAATCCGTCACCAGGTAGAGGAGGCAAAAATGACGAACTGTACCAGGCCCTGTACGTCACAAACCAAGTTGACATTGCCACAATACCTGCCAATAGTTTTTCAGGCATTGTGTGGAAATACATCATAGTCGTGATAAGCATTAACTCCCAAACAGCAACAAAAATTGTGATTACAATGAATAAGATTTGTACATAAGGCGTCATCTGCTTGTAGACAGTTTTCATCGCTTGCAGCTCCTCTTCCTTCAGACTGCTAAATGTGGTAGCCGCATTTTTGCCTTCTTTACGTGCGTTCTCTTCATTTCTCAGCACGTCTTGAATTTTATCCCAACCGATGATTGGCCTCGCTTCACTTATCATCACCAATGTACTGTATATAAGTATGAAAACGTGACCGGATATGTCAAACGATTTCCACAAGTGGCCAGCAGACTTGCACGCTGATCGGGCCAGTCCTCTGCCTCCAGAACACTTGCCGTAATAATCTTCGAGCCGATTAAAGGCGTTTGTCCAAAAGTACCAGAAAAACGTGGCAACAACCAGGCGAGTAGCGTGCAAGGGGATGCTGGGTCGAGAGTAGAGGCAAAACACCTTGCTAGTGGTTACCAGAAACGAAAGCGTCCACAGCAACGTCCAGAACCAACCCAACTTGACCAGGTACTGGTTGAGAAACGTGTCGCTGTTGGCGAAGTAAATTTTCGGGAACTTGATGAAGTCGCCCACCACGGAAGCGATCAGCAAGATCAGATACACCAACAGCCGTTTGTGCGTCGAGAAAAACAGATACTTCCTGCACGCGAACAGCAACACCGTCAAGAATATGTTGGACACGGTCGTCGGTTCTCTGACCAACAGCGTGCCCTTGGTCTCCGATCGCATGGTCAGGCCCGTGGGCAGGTAATTCGATTCGATCGACCCCGACCGAGTGTTCCTCTTGGTAGTCATGTCTGGGGCCGAAACGCTGAAATTGAATCCGTTCGGGCGACACGTGAACGTAAATTATTATTAATTCCGAGAAGTAATTACCTGCACGTAATCCGGTAACCGTATCACATCGTCGTCTCTGCACGTCTGAGGACTGATTAGTGATTACTGTTGAGTGTTAACCGTCTCGGTTTCCGGCACAGAATACAGGTAATATGCACAGATATTACTCTTCGGTACTTAACGTAGTTACGTCTTACTTTCACCTATTCACCGTCCAGGCGTTCATTGATCATAAATTATATGTTCGGTGTTTCGGTATTCCGTGATAACAGTACTGGTGATTCTCGTCTTGTCACGGTTTTTATCATAAGTCGAAAATCCGTTTTTGTTTGTTTTTTTTTTTCGTACTTTCGCCGTCTCCGTTGAAAAATGAATAATAACCGCCGCTCGTTTTTGTAGCACTGATATCTCGATTAACATCACGATCGACAACAATTGACTAAAAATAGTGCAATGATTGTTAGTGTGATAGATAGTTGTGTAGCACACTCGCACCGGCGTGAATACCTACTAAATAGCATTTCAAATTTGAATGCTGATATGATAATGTGAAAACTAACATGTTTAGAAGTAACAAAGTTTTATTTATCGCATATTTTAGGGTGGTCAGATTAAATTAAAAGAAATCCGGGACGATACATTTTAACTTGACCTAATCGTTTAATCTAACTTAATATTATTAATATTTTTATTTTAACATTTTTTACTAGTGGGTTTCATTATGAAATATAAAACACTGATTATTAAAATTATAGAAATAGAAAACTTACTTTTATTTTCAACAAAAACTTATTTTAAAATTATAAATACAGTACATTTTTTTTAAACTTCATATAGTAACATACAAATAACGTTTTTTAAACTTTATCTTCAGCTTTCATCGTGTATTTTTGCGTGCTGTGGACGTTCTTCAGAAACGATTGATTTTTTATAATTTCGTCATGAAATTCCATGCAACTTAAACCGTATGTTTTGGTAATCAAACAACTTTCTACAGTTGCTACATCCATTTGATTACGGACGTCGGTCCAAGTGGAAGTCATCAATGAAAACACTCGTTCTATTGATGCATTTGAACCTGGTAAACAAAATGCAAATTCAACAACTGCTGCAAGATTTGAAATACTCACGTCTTTCTCTTTAAACAATTTAAATATTTGTAACCATTTTTGTTCTAATGAAGTAGAATTTTTTGTCCATTCATCGAATTTTTCTTGAAAAATATTTGAAAATGACATAAATTCATCAAAATAATCATCTTCGTTAAGTAAAACGAATTCTGAAAGAGAATTTAATGTGTTCTTAGCATTTTGCCATGTTACGGTATGTTTTTTTGTTAAATTTAACCAATCTAATTCAGTTAATAATGTCTGATTAGGCATTGTCCACTTTTGTATGTATTTTATACACAAATCAAAAAATATTTGACTTCCTGTATCAAACTCTTTTTTTATTGAGCATCCTTCTTCTTCGAGTACTTTAATTATATTTTCAATTTCACTGTTAATGAAATGTTCGTTCTTCCTGTTTTCTAAATTATTTATTAAATTACTTAGTATATCTATCAACTCGAAAGCAGAAATGTGTTCTCCTTCAATTTTTTGTATATAATTATTAAATAGTCTGAGCATACTTTGTATGAACTTCATATACAACAGTGCCTTATCATTTTTAAAAAAATCAACTAATATTTTAGGACTTGAGTCTTGTGAAAGAAAGTATGACTTTAAACCGCTGAACATTAAAATAATTCGATCAATAGCAGGTGATAATGACAGCCATCTTGTTTTAGTATGTGCTAAAATATCCCGATACTGAACATCTGCAAATTCGCAAAATTCTTTTAATTTTTCCACGCGAACAGTGTAAATATGAAAATAACCAAAAAGTTTAACTGTTATGGCTTCAACGTCTATAGGTAAACTATCAGAGGCGCATTGTATAGCGTTATGTAGTATATGAGCACAGCAGCCTAATCCAAGTATTTTTTTATTTAATTCAGTCTGAAGTTTTGTGTGAACATTGTTTTTCCCTTTCCTAGCTACTCCGCCAAAATTTGTATTTGTATTATCCGCTGACAAAGCTACAATTTTTTCTTTTAGTCCAAATTTTGTAAGAACGTCTATAATTTTTTTAGTTATTAAATCGGACGTTTCACCTGGCAAATTTGAAAATTCGAGAATTTTATTTTTTATACCAACGTCAGGCAAAAAATAACGGACAAGAATTGGTACCAATTTTATTGATTTATGATTTGAACCATCGACTAAAACCGAAATAAATTTGGCAGAACGCATTCTTTAACGATATTATCAACAATATACGGACTAATAACGTTTACAATTATTTCTCTGGTTTTTGTTTTAGCACATGTAAATTTTTTGTCATTTAATAATTGACGAATCAAATCTGAAGTGCATGTCATTGATCGGAAACTCTGATTATGAATTACCGTATGATATGCAAAAGTAGCTTCACGAGCTGCTAACGCAAAATCATTTTTATCAGGAATTAGTTTAGAAAAGAAGTTTGAAACTTTACCAGACTGCAATGACGCTCTGGAGGCCAATTTGTGTTTCTGACTTTTAAGGTGATCATTAATATCTGATCGTCCACCATGGCTAACAGAGAAGGTTCCTTGACAAGTTGTACACTGCACGTTAAAATCATCATTAGGTTTTTGTTTTTTAATGAATGGAAATTCTTTTTGTAAATTTTCATTAAAGTGACTTAGTCTTTTTGGTGCCATAATTTAAACGAAAAGAACACAAATAAAACCAGATTAATCGAACGTCTGTCGGGCGCGAATTGAAGTGAACGAATACTGACAGACCTGACTATTTTTGACTAGTGTTATGTAAAATGTATTAGCATGATGTTTATAAAACTATTTGATTATATTTGATTATGGTTATAGTAATAACATGGTATAAAATATTTCGACGACATTTATCATTAATAACAATAAGTATTATACGTTTATAAAACCATGTATAATGTTTATAAATAGATTTCTATACAATGATAATAAACCGAATGCTGTCATAATAAGACTCGCACCCACCATAGTACAGTATACAGTATACACCAGCTGCAGAGTGTGCGGGACATATATATTATAATAATATATAGTTTATTTTTATATATCCATGGTGCGAGCCTATATGCGTATTTGTGTAATTGTGTGTGATTATTATTATCAACAAATAATTTAAAAAAAGTTAAATTCCGGTACATTATTATGTTGATAGCTAAATCCGGTAACAACACCTTGTCCCGAAAAAGTTTTTCGGGACACCGGGACATGAGTTCCTAAACCGGTAACGTCCCGGAAAATTCGGGACGAATGGCCACCCTAGCATATTTATGTACGAGATTCAAGTGATCCGTTGATCCATATACCTACCTAAGTATCGAAACGACAACAAAAATCTAGGTATTTATCAATTAATAGGTTCCTAATCAAATTGACGTAATATTTACTTACCTATCCAAAGCGTTTGATATTGTGCATCAGTGCATCATGGTAGGTATATCTATTGATTATTATTTTGAAAAGTTTTATTAACAAAATTCATAGTAGAATAAACAACCCAATGGGCGCCCTCAGATATTTGTAAAGAAAGGGTGGCAAAATAAATTCAAAAAATAAATAAAGGTTTTTTTATAAATTTTATTTATAGTACATTATTTGTTTCGTCATTATTACATTAAATTATTAGTTATTTAATAACTTTAAAATTCTAGGAGGGGGGCAAGTGTCCCATTTTACCCCCCTCTGGAGACGCCCATGAACAATCCTAGAAATTGTAATGATTTAAAAAGGAAATTGAAATAAAGGAGGTAATATATATCAGAGGTTATTGACTATACACCTTTAGATCAATTATAAATCATTACATTATCTTTCTTCTCTTGGCAATGACTTCTTTGTTAATGCTGTTGTGAATAAGGTGACCAGTGCACGTTGAATAATTTTAAGACTTTTTTCACTTAAATACACTTATTATTTTTATTATAATTTTTCTTTAATACATGAACTATTTAATACATTTGACTTTAACATAAATTTATTTTAACACTTACGTCTTTTCGTGTATATGATCTGTGTAGTCTTTTACACTCGCTTATGATCATTTACACAAAAAGACGGGAAGAGCACTGCGCCTGGACCGGTGGTGACCGGCCCTCTTATATCGGGTGTCTTGTGTTTATGTTTGATCCGACTATAGGTCATTTTATTGTTTTACATGATTATCTTAATAGATGACTTATAGCTAAAGGTTATACAGTAATTAAATATTTGATATTTGTCATATTGATAAAATACTTATAGTTAAAGGTCATAATTTTATTATATAAATATTTAATTATGATTGCTTAGAGCACATCATTACAAAATGCAGGATACTTACTCTTAAAGATAAATTTTAAAGTCAATAACAACAAAATTAGGTATCTATTAGGTAATACGCACCATGTCAAATAATATTTTTTACATTCCTGCCCAATCAACTAACTTCTGTATAAATGACCCATTAATAAGAGTCATGAAAACTGAATTCCAACTATGATCGTATTAATTTATTCAAATTATTTCCATTTCCTTATTTGTTTTGTAGTTTTGTACATACAATACCTATCTATTTTTGAAAATATCTTACAAAATTTATCACTTTTTAACTTATACATCTAATTTTTACGCCTCATTCTTTTATTCTTCTGTTAATATAAGTTTATTAAATATTGTTCTATTTAAAATACAAACCCTTTAAACGTAAATGTGTATAATTTTTTATCATTAATATTCTGAAGCAGAATATTATTCTGATTATATTTACATGTAAGAATTGAATTTCAACCGAGTTAGGTAACTAATTAATTAGAAATAATTTTATGAAAAAAATATAAGTTTAAATGCGTGAAATAGAATTGATACAAGATATAGTGGTACCAACTTGTGCGAAGTCGATGCACTTCTCTGCTAATTTATAACATGATAAATTTATATAATATGATTTTTTAACCAAAAAAACAGAAAATATAAATATTTTCTCTCTTTTTTTTATACTTACAACACTGTGTAAATGTTTCACGTATTTGTGATGTAAAGAATTTGGATTATGGATTAATATAATCAAAATACATTTTTACATGATATATAAAATATCTTTCCTTGTATTAATTTTTTTTTTTTTTAATTTTTGGCACAATCACAATATATTTGGAGGAAAAATATTTAGTAAGTCTTATTTGTATAAATATTTTATAAAAATAAATTTACTATCATATTTACAATATACTTACAACACTTTCGTATTTGTGCATAGAATTGCCTATTATAAAAGTTGTAACAATACATATTATATATTTAAAAGTTAGTTACAAAATACATATTGTTCATTAAAAATGTAAAAGCCTCGGTCTTCGAGTACTCACTCAGTGTGATAAATTAGAAAACTAAAAAATCTATCTCTAATACATAATATAATAATGTTATCGTTGTATATATACTATATAGGTATAAAGTTTTACAAAAATAAAACACAACGAATGAAAATCAATGAGAGTTAAATAACTAAATATTTAGGGAAAAATAATCAAAAAGATAAAATAATAAAGTTCATTTTGGCAAAAAAAAAAAATTGTACTGGTTGCCGTTTTAGCCAGTAAGCCTCCTCCGGAGTGCGAAATACGTGAAAATCCTATACAGCACGAGCATAACGACCAATTTGATGATCTCAAAGTATGGATGCTTCCTATCCACGTTCAGGTAATAAATTATGATGTTTGGGTCTTTGAAGTGACAGTAGCCCGTGTCGCAATGTAGTGGTTCCCTGTTTAATCCAAACACGGTGATGACCAGCCCGATGACTCCGCATCGTAAGAAACTTGCTTGCATTACGAACTCCATGATCCATGGTACTTGGTGCGCAAAGTCAAACCCATAAATGGCCAGCCCCAAAAACGGCGCTATCATCATTGGACCAACTGCGCTGCCGTTCTGTAAAATTTATTTAAAAAATATATATTATTATTATTATTATTACATAATTTTCATAATTTCCGATCTTATTATACGCTATCTTGTGAATAAAATCTAAGTAGTTTACATTAAAAAAAAATTAATTTATATATATAATTTTTTTCTTAAGTCGTCGATAAATATATAATTATAAAAAGCCATCAGTTATTACAATCAATAGATATAGAAATAGGCCGCATATTATTTATTTGTTTCATAAAATATGGCCACTTTAATCTTTTTATTTTTGCTTATTTTAAGGTCATTATAAAGTAAAATTTTTGAAAATACATTATATTCTTTATAATTTTTAAAAATGTTCTCTTTTTTTTAATGCATTATAATTATTAGTTATACAATAAAGTCTCCTAAAGATACTTTAATAGAGTTTAGTCCATCTATATTGCTCATCTAAACTTCAATTACTCATATCTAGATATAATTAACTATAGTTACTTCATACTTGTTCAAAACTCGATTCGTCATGATGTAACAAAAACATTTTTAAACACGTTGATACTTTTTGGGAAAATGAGTGTTTACTTTCAAAAGAATTATCTTTAATAGTTCGGTAATTATTATTTATTTATTTATTTTATGAGGTAGAACGTAGAACGATAGAAGTATAACTTATATAGTTTATATTGTCACTAAGTATTTACTCATTATTGTATTACATATAGTCATATAGATTACATATGATATACAATAATAATAGGTACATGGCACATATAATGTATATACGTGTATAACCCAGGCTCCGTGTAATTGTTAATGTGTTCGAATAATCATTTACTTTCTATAGAAAGAACTGTCGAATTATTTGTTTTCTATTTAATAGATATTATAAATTTTCTTTCATAAAAATACTGTACCGTCACGTTGAATATAGATCCTACAAGTAGTCCCATTCCTTCGGAGACAAAACAAACCAATAGACAAATAATATTGAACATTGAAAATCGTAAGAGTTCACATGGTAGCCCGGACATGAAATATACCAAAGTCGTATATATACTGCTAAAAAATATCTGTGCAAAAATAAAACAAATATCTCTGTTATTAGACTTGTAGGTTGACTTAAAATGCATGCTTATGATATCCATATAACAATTACGGAACCGTTCAAATCACATGCAAACAGCAAATGAATTATTTTAGTAATTTAAAATTTGAACGACACCGCAAAATTATAACATATGAGTTTCATATCATACATTCATACGCAATATTTTTATGAGCGTTAAAAAAACATATTTTTTTTTTATTAACTTATGTTATATTATTATATTTTACACTTACAATGGTCGGCACTCTTGATAATTGTAACGCTAAGAAATATGGCCTTAAGCTATACCATCTATTGAAGTATTCTTGTTTTAGCAGTTTTACTTCGGACGGAACTATAAAATTAATAGAAAAATGTTAATAGAAAACGCTGAAAATCGTTATGCAACATGTACTATATATATATTAGTGAAGGAATGCCTACTAATAAGGTAGAAGGATCTACCTACTTGGCTTTTCTAAAATAACGTAGATACTAGATACTTCTTTTCTACAGAAAAATGGTAATTTTAAATTATTATAATATAATCAATAAATATAGCAATTTTTAAGAAAATGATAATACAAGATTTTCGCACAAGACTACAGAATTATGAAAATAATATTATACAGTCCACGTGATTTAAATAAAGCATTTTGTTACCGTCGAGAACTTATTATTATTATGTTAAATTACATACATATTAACTTAAAATATTTTTAATACTATTTATTATATTTTTATTATTATTATTATGCGTGTGTACTAAAAAATATGCTTAAAAATAAATTGTAAATATTTTTTTTAAACTTAAAATAAAAATAAAAATAGCAATGTGATGATTTTCAAGCTCCTTCAGAATACTGTGTCTTTTGAATTTAACCGTGTTCGGATTAATTAATTAGACCTGCAGACTATAATACAGCAACGCAATAGCGCTAATAGTAAACATTTTCAGAAAGTTGGCGTCTTTAATTCCTATATTAATTATTTTATTAGAATAGCTTCACATTGAATAAGAAATTCAAAAGTAACGTATTAAATTTAAATTTATAAATATAATTTATATCGATCGTGTATTGTTTGGGTGGGCAATCATTTTGAGGGAGACTTTATACGCTCATATTCGAACTAATATGTATCGGTGTAATTAACGATATACGATGGAGATCGACCTAACACGACAAATCTACTCTCATATATAGTGTGAGTTAATTAATATATATTACAATTAATAGGTAATAAAGACACAGTATGATATATATATACGTACATGCAAGTACTTGGACCATCGACTGCGTGAACGTGTGGAAGAGAATATTGCCCATGCAGAATTTCATATGGTTGAAGAACTGTTCGCCGTCGTTCGCCTTGTCGTAGAACACAATACCTACCGCCAGGCCACAGATGAGATGATGGTAAAACTGTATGTTTAGACCAATCTGCGAATGTGGAAGTAAAACACAAAAATCAAGAACAATTTCATAAGAATATAGTAATATTATAATGCACATATATTTATTTAAACGCGGAACGTTAACATGTAAGCATTATAATATCACATGGATGAGCGAGCGAACGTAACGCGACGTCGTAATATATATAGGAAACGGAAATCATCACAATAATTAGTACCTACATCGATTTTTAAAATAACTACGTGTCTATACCTTGTTCCTGTACATCTGCAAGATCATACGTTTCCAAAGCGTGCAAAACTGCGACCAACCGGAAGTCGGAAAGTCCACACACCAAGTATTGCTGGGTTTTATCACGTCATCGTCGTCGATGTCCACTTCGTCACCTATAGCTTTGTAATTGATCGGTGGCAAAGGGAGTAATTTGGAAGTGACAACGTTGCCGTTAAGTTCCGGCAAGAGCAATTCACAAGCTGTGTACAGAACAAAAAAAAAATACCCATTATAAACGACACAAAAACGATTGCTCAAAAGTCAAAATCGATCATATTATGTGAGTATATAGGTACTGAGTCATAATTATGAAATGTTGTATTAAAAAGTATTTTAATGTACAAACGATTGGTTGTTTTGCGTGTGATACGGCGGAGAGGGTAATCTTTTAAAAAAATTAAGCGCACACCCTGTACAAGAGGGCTTATATCGTATTTTGATATGCCGACATAGCAGCACACGTTAACGTTATTTATTATAGGTACTATATAGGGAATCGAAATATCTCTCAGACGATCAAACGAGTTTCACGCAAATGCCTAATTTTTCGATTAAAAAAAAAAAAAAAACGGAGATTTTCTCTCTGCAGCTGTTCAGCGTTTAAACAAATCGCTTTGCGCCGAGGCGCAATCGTACACAGTGAACTTTGTCTATATACAATTAATATATATATATATATACGAATAGAGGTTGTCGTGCGCTAACCTTTGGTCGTGTCCTCGTAACAGTTGTTGACGTCTCTCGTCTTGCACAGCGACTGCTTGCCGTTGGCCGTGGCCGCGGCTAATTTTTCGATGTTGTCCTGTTCCTCGCCGTCGGTGGCCTCGATTATGTAGTCGGCCGGGTTGTACGTCAGCGGGCAGTGCAGCCCGACAGTGGACAGGAACGGGACTAGCTGGTCGGTGGTGCCCTGGTACACGCAGTATCCCTGGGACAGCACGTACACGTTGTCGAACAGCTGGAACATGCTGGCGCTCGGCTGGTGGATGGTGCACACGATGGTGCGGCCCTGGTGCGCGAGCCCACGCAACAGCTGTAAGCAGTACGTGCTGGAAACGTTGTCCAGGCCACTGCGCAAACACGTAAGAAAAAAAAAAAATCGTGAACATTGTTGCACGTCGACGTTTACGGTACTATGTCGGTTAAATTTTAAAGAGCGGCGTGTGTGATGTGGGGGTTAGTGTGCTGCAGCGTTATTTATAGGGTTCACGAAATTTCGAGCTGCGACCTATACCATGCCGCCGATCGTGATCAGTTCGGTGTCTAACGATGACGTCATAATAATAATAATTAAATAGCCGAAAATATTTTTTATTTTTTTTTTAAATAGAGATTTCACGTCCCACCAGTCGTATAGCCACGGCCTCCAGTTTGAGAAGCACCGGTGTAGAGACTTGGGACAGGTACGCGCATATAAATTGGTATAACCCCATAAATGACGCCCCCGTTGTGATGGCTACAGCGCGGTTTATCGCCATGCGCGGGATTTAAGTTCGTCTGGCATACACGATATACTCATACCCATACGCATGGTTTTCTCACAAATCGTCCAAGACAAATCGTTTTATTTACATTCCTCCGTAGCCCACAGTAAGATAACACGTAATAATATTTTGCTACAGTCAATCACAGTAATGCATAGGTAATATGTATCGTTTCAGACGGACCTTCGTAACAATGTTATTAGTGTTATTACACGCACTGATAACTTTATTATTATTATATTGGTAGGTACTACGTTTTGTTGCAAATAGTATATTGCTAAATGTCCTATATTCGCAATCAAATACATAATATCTACTGTGTCCTTTAAAAATACCGACCTACTAAACTGAGGAATATACATATTTTGTGTTTTACAACTAATCAACTATATCATATGAAGTCAAATGAAGAAATTTGAACGAAATTTGTAATGGATGTGGAACTAATTAAAAGTAACATTGATATCGTAACACACACATTCAATAAATAAATAGATAATAGTAATATTTAAATAATAATTTAACACATTAATATATAGGTTATATAATAAATAAATATTATATTCCCATGTATATAAGTATATGTATATGGTATGTCGTATGTAAGTCTACATCGAGTACATCGAACCACTAAAAATCATTACTATATATTATATAACGATAATTTTCCAAGCAAAAACCCAATAAGTTCTTTATGATAGTTATTTGTGTAAAATGGCATTCTATACAGATTTAAAAGTGATAATTAAATATTATGAACCCCTAAAGATTGTATGTGAGTAATAAAATAAAGTGTTTCTGCTAAGTACATATTAATTATGCCTCATTAGATGTATATTAAACTACAGGTATATATTTTTTCTTAAAAATACTTTTGGTTTTTTTCTTTTTAATATTACGTATTATTACCATGACTAGTGCAATGTTACTATTTTCGGTACCTAATAAGTTAAATCAAAATTTTAGTGTTCTCAAATTATCTAAATCGAAAAACAATGATTTAACATTAACTCGATTTTCACCAAATACCATACATATTTATACTTCTATTTAATACTATAATATTGTATAATATGGTAGGTACCACATTAGATAATAGAGAAATTAATTTTGGTTAATGGCTTTTTGTTGCACAATGACATAATGTATAGAAACATCACTAATAAAATATCTTAATTTATTTTTTTTTTTTTTTTTTTTTTTTGTTAAATAAAGGCTTCAAATTCAAAGTTTATTAGCCTACAATGATTTACGTTTTATACATTTTTTTTTTTTTTTTTATTTAAACACCGGGTACCTATATTTGTTTTAGGTAATACTAAAATACATGATAAGGTCATATTTAAGTAAATATAGGTTAACTTTATATTTTCTTACGAAATTATGACAAGTAATAACATAAAATGCTCGATTAAAAAAGGATAGCAACTATAATGATTTTAAGATATTAATATCTTAATATTTCTTACAACATTTATGGTTAATAAAATAAAAATAAAAAACTGACAAATAATAATAAATTTTAAAAATGATAACTATCATAGTCACATCAAGTTATCACATATCATGACATATTTTTTGATCACAAATTATTAATACGCACCTAGTAGGTTCATCGAGAAATATTATGGGCGGGTTGTTGATAAGTTCTAGAGCAATAGACAACCGCTTTTTCTGGCCTCCCGACAAGAATTCGGTCCTCGTGTGTTTGCTTTCGGATAGTCCCAAGACATTTTGAATCTCTGTCACCTACATATGATACATTATTTATAACATGTATAACTTGTGCATCATAGAATCGACAATATAATATCTTATAAAAATATAGTTACTATAATACTCAATTATAATTAATTTAGTTTTAAATTAGGTATTTAGTATATTCAAGTGCAACTAAAACTGGATTTATCCGCCGAAAATCTTTAAACCCCTCAAAAAAAAAAAAAAAATTAATAATAAATGAATAGGTAATTTATACAAATTATACTGCCATTTCTATTGTTTATTTAATTACTGTTTTGTGCTCACAATAATTTGTTTTTCTTTGGTAAGTGTACCATTAGATAATTTAAATTCCGCAGCGAACATCATCACTTCGTTTAAAGTTAACATAGGCTGAATCTTGTCCTCCTGCATTATGTAACATGATAACTTGCGGAATAACTTCTCGTCCCTGACTTGATTATTTAACTTCAAAGTCCCGCTTACGCCTTTATAACTGAAACGTTTTCGCTAATTAGACAACATAAAAGTTATTATTTAATTATTCTAACTAAAAATTTACTATATTATACACCTATGACTTATATCATAATTTATATAATATTTAATAAATAAAAACTGACATACAAAATAAAAATCGGGATAAGTACTTTTGTTAAGAAATAATTCTATTTAGTAAAAAGTTATTAAGAATAAAAATAAAAAGTATAAATTTAACTTATTAGTCAATGACCTTTTTAGAATATTTACACATATTCAGTGATACAAACAGTTTAAGTGATGTGCTCTTACTACAACCTAATCACAACATGTTTTAATTCACGTTGTAGAAAATATATTAGGGGTCTAGAAAGTTCTCTGAAGCTTAAAGTTTAATGAATAACTCCAGATTACAAAATTGATATAAGTTAAAGTTATTTTTTATCCAAAAAAGTACAAACAATCTTATTTTAACACATTTCATGAGTTATTAATGAACATTAACAAAAAATAGCGTATACATGTATTCAATAATAATTAAACATTTAAACCTATTAGTATTTTCTTATATCATAAAATCAGGAGCTAAGATGTGCAATGTGCATTCTAACCTAACTTAAAAGAATAAAATTTGATAATAATGACATAAATGCTTACTTGTAACCGGATAATGCATTAAGTAAACTGCTCTTTCCTGCACCCGACGGTCCCATAATGCATGCGAGTTCGCCAGCTGCAAATCGGCCATTTACAGACTTTAATATCGTTCTTGGCGGAACTATAAATGAAATAATATCAGAATCACTATATTATTAAATTATTTTGAAATAAAATCTATTCTGCTCTGCTAAACAAAAGTGCCGTAACTCGAAAAAAATTAAACAACGAGTTAGATACGGCATCTAGGTTTATCTATTTTACACTATAAATGTAGTAGATAAAATACCCCTAAAATTACTTTAAATAGGCAATAAAATCAATTATTTAGATTTAAAAACGCCGTAGGTAACAAAAAAAAAATTAGAGATATTAAGTAAGAACACCGCATCCTATACTTACTAAGTATAAACGCCGTAAATATGTTTATACATACGGCGTTTTCGCTTAACATTTCCATGATCTACCTGAGTTACGACGTTATTATCTAACATTTCGACTTTTTTTCTGAAGTAACGGCAATATATTATATTTAATATATATAATTAATTTAATAGTTTCCAAATTGCTATCTTCAATATTATTTGGAAAGCTTATAATTTTATTATGGTTGTTTTATCTTATCAATATATTAAGATAAAATTATTATGGTAATGTGATTTTTTTTCTGATTGTTATTTGTCGTCAGTATTATATGCACAGTTGTCGCGAATACGTACTTTATTTTATTACGACGTTAGTTAACTTTTATTTTAAACAATTTAAAAATTAAATTAATTATGGATTCACAAGATGAGTTTATTTACGACCCGGAACTCAATGTGATACCTTCCACACCTGGTAAGAAAATTAATAGAAAATATTCAACTATATATTTATAAAATAGAAATAATAATATAATTAAATAAATTTTATATAGATTCTACGGGAATATTCGATGAAGAGGAAGAGGCGTTTCTACAACAAGGTAATACAACTTACAATATATAATAGTTTAAATCGTTTCGGAGTTTATAATAAATTATAAATCATTATTACAAAATTATATCATTTTCCAAATAAAGTTGAAATAAAAAGGGTATAGATTTATATTTTCATTAATTATTTGAATCTACAAAATTTTTCATTTTAAATTTTTAGACTATTTGCCATTTGGTGCATACAGAGACATTAATTCATTACCCGTCGTTTTTGATGATGATGTTGAATGCGAAATGTATACAAAATCGGGAGATCTAAGGAAGAGGAAGAAATATGCGTTAAATATGACCAGTAGAAAACAAATAAAATTCGAACAGAGAAAAAATAATCATGTGGTACAACCAGGATGTGACAGAGAAACGTGTAGAAGAAAATGTGTTTTAAATATAACGAAAAATAAGCGTGTTGATATAAATCATCAGTATTGGGAAATGAACTGGCAAGCTAGAAGATCATTTGTACATAGCACTTGTGAAAGTTCTGAAATTATTAGTCGTTCTAAAAACGAAAATACAAAAAGAAAAAATGTGTTTAAATTTTTTTTAACAGATAGTGATGGGTTGCGAATTCAAGTATGTAAGCCATTCTTTTTATGTACATTGGGATTTAAAAAAACCAATTATAGGGTGTTAGACGTCCTTAGATTAACACCTAAAAATAAAATTAAGCCAAATATCGATGGCCGTGGAAGGCAATTGTCTATTAATAAATAAATCAATTTATTTTTCAGTTGATTTGCAAAAAATAATAATGTTACCAAGGTTAGACACATTTAAAAAAATTTTGTTCATTAAACGACTTGTAGCATACCACGAAAGTTTTGTACCTCTAGGAAAAAAAGGAAATCTACTGCCATTTGCTTGTGTGTGGCACGAAGGAATAAGTGGTCGTAAGAAAGAAGATTTAATTAGCACTTTTTTCAATTTTTTTTACTAATCATCGTGATGCAAATACAATTACTATTTGGTTAGATAACTGTAGCAGCCAAAATAAAAATTGGTGTTTGCTATCAATTTTAGTCTACATCATAAATTCTAGTGAAATTTTTGCAAATGAAATTGTTTTAAATTTTTTCGAAGCTGGACATACATTCATGTCAGCTGATAGTTTCCATCACCAAGTAGAACAATCGCTTAAGTACCAAAAAAAACTTACGATTTTGAAGTTTTTGTTAAAGCTGTAGGAGCAGCAAATTAATCAAAAGTAGATGTAAAAATTATGAATTATTTTGATTTTTATTTATGGATAGATTACAAATCACAACAAAAACTTAAAAAATCATCAAATCGTGTATTATTAAAAAATGTCGTTTCTATAAAAGCTGTTCGAAATAAATTTATTTTGTACACAAAATGTAATTTTGAAGAAGAATATGCAGAACTTAATTTTTTAAAGAAGAGTGTAATGAAAGTATCCGGAATGACTACATTTCAACCATTGAAAGGACCTTGTGGTATTCCTGTTGAAAAAAGAAACGACATTCTCAACAACTTGATACAAGTTATTCCACAAAATAGGAAAAAGTTTTAGGAAAATATTCCAATCCATAATTATTAAACTATTATTATATTTTTATTTTATGATAAAATTAATTAATTTTTAATACAACTAAATACTAATGCATATTCCAGTTTATAATTATTAGACTATTATTTTTTTTTTTAATTTAACGATCAAATTTATTAATTTGTAATAAATCTCATGTTTATAATTATTATACTTAATTTATTTATATAAATGTATATACGGAATTTTACTCTAGTAAATACATTTTTAGACGATTTATTATTATTAAGCAATAATGCCGTAAAATTTACTTACGACGTTTATCCTTAATTCATAAAAGTATTAACAGTTTAAATTGCTAAGTAATAACATAAAAGTAACTTTTATTCGTATAATAAGCAAAAAAAACTTTTAAATTATTATTCTATTGCATTCCTCGTCAATAAAACTATAAAGGTGAATATATTTTATACTAAATCAAATAGACTAACAAATAATAAAGGTATAATAAAATGAAAAATACAAAACTGCATTTTTCTCAAAACTAATAATTTGGTTTTTACGGAACTTTTGCTTAGTAGGGCATAATAATTATTATATACAGGGATGCAATTTTAAATAATTTTTAAAAACTTGGCGAATTTGACAAGGCTTACTATAAATGTCACATTAGGTTCATTGTGGGTAAAATATAAAAGCAACTAGCAGAGTAAACGGACACTTTGTACTATCTATTGTTTAAGTTGCATATCGTGGACACTTTGTACAGTGAAAATAAATTGGTAAAAATCGATTGCGAACACTTGGTACGATAATAATAAATTAGTAAAAAATGATTGTAGATATTTTGTACGGTGTAAATAAATCGGGAAATATATTTTACTAGATAAGATTAAATTAAATTTTTCAAAACTTTAGATTGCAATTAGTATAAGACATAAGTTTGGTGACACAGTAGAACATAACCAATGGTATATTCTAAAATATATTACGAGCCAAAACCAAACTATTAAACTAAAACCAACATTTTTTTGGATATGGTTATGAATTTATTTATTTTAAAAATATATAAATTAATAATATTCGTTAAAAGTGCTTAAAAGTGGCTTATATGGATAAAGCTACAATAAATCTTTATGAACCGATAAGCTATGAGTTATAATAAATCATATAATTTTTATAATATATCATCAGAATATATATTTTTTTAATTTTTATATGCTTATGTCATAGTATGAATTATTTACAAAATAGACTGATCATAACTACGCTCTGAGTGATAATACAATATTTAGGCTGAAAAACCTTGCACTAAATTGTATGAAAATCTGAGTTATTAATAGTAGAGAATTTGTTAGGTACCTCAGGTACCTGTGTTTTGTAATAACAAATTATGTGATATGTAAAAATTTTTTTCTACCTAAAATATTACAAATTGTCCGCCATATACATTTTATTACTATCTGAAATAGTACAAAATTTCCGCCATATTGACTGTTGTTACAACCTAAATAGTACAAACTTTACACGGTTTTATTTTTTATAGGCGATCATACAAAGAATTCTACAATCAACTCGTAGTCATATGCATGAAATGGTCAGATTTTTTTGGATAAACTAGGTATAATTTTTTTTTTTTTTAAATTAAACAAAATATGCACTTTATAAGTTACAATTTCAAGTAACTTCCCTCCTTTGAGCTTAACAGCTTGTGTTGGAGAGACTAGAGAGGGAGTTATTATAGTTAAAAATATTAAATAATAATGAAATAATGAGATGATATAACCATTTAAATAGTACAAATATAAAAATTCTACTACTGTATAAATATAAAGTAATATAAACTTAACTTAACATAACATTTAAAAATAAATAGACAAAGAAAAACCAAACATACTTTACATTAACATAGAGTTTTTCCTAAATTCCAAAAATAAATATTTATATATTACATATTTAACATTCATAGTATCATCCATTATTATATATTTTTTTTAAATTAAAATGCCATAGAATTAAAAATTGTTGGTCTCGAGTAGTCTAATCAAAAGATGTATTGGTATATATTTAAAAGGAAAGTCATAATTTCTAAATTATCTTTTATTTCCTAAGTTGTGATTATTTAATTTAAAATTTTTCAATAAATGTATTATTATTATTTTTTTATATAAGAATCTTACTGGTAAAACGCCAAATTCTATATGTATAATTTTCATTTCTGGATCATCTAATGGTACATTAATTTAGACAAATTTTAACAACATTATTTTGGTTATTTAGTATGTTATCACGAAGGCCACCCCATACTAATATACTATGTTTAAAATTAGACTGATACAAGATACAATGCATAATAAACCTATAATATAAAAAAATAATATTCTCAGAACTAATAGGCAATTTAATTATAAATACTTAATGAAATAATGATTAACAATATTTCGTGCAAGAAATTGATTGTATAGGTATCAAGATTTTTATATTTTCCTAGGTCACTAAGATAATTCTATTTATAAAATGTGTAATAACAAAATGTTTTCCCATATTGGGTCCTTGTTTATACTTTAATATTTATATTCAATAGAACATAATAACATTTAATAATATATAATAATTTTTATTTATTACATGTAT